ATGCAGTTTGCAAACCTATCATGCTGGTGTGTATTTTTTCCTTGGGCAAAGTTTTTCTGGGAGCATTGCTATACTCTGCTCAACAAAACAGACTCTTTTTAAAAAAATCTCTGTCCTTTCCTCCTGCTTCTTGCTCATCTTTAATATTTCTCATTAAAATATTTTTAGTCTTTTTTAGTAGAGTTGGATTGTCCAGCAAAAGTACAAGGAACTCTTTCCAATATGTGGTTCGGCCTGGCTGATCTGCCTTATGCCTACCAAATTGCATCATGTTGTTTAGTGTTTAGGGGAGAAAAGCCTGTGAATTCCTGAAAATTATCACATTGGTGTTTTGATTATCTTTATTGCTGTGGGGAGTGGTGGGAAGCCAACAGCCAAAAAAGCAGGGGGAAAGGAGACTGTCCACATGGGGACAAATTTTAATCCAAACATCAGCATAGACACTGCTGGTTAAACACTCATACCCAACAAGTGTATGTCGATGGCTTCTTATCAAACTGGAAATAAGTATCAAACAGCAGGTGGCAGAGCTCCATTAGAAGGGTGTGCTGTTCAGCGAATTTATAAATGAGTTGCATGAGGGGTTACAAACTTTGCCAACTGTACAAAGGTAGAGAGGATAGCAAACATTGTGGAGGACAATATCAAGGTTCACAAGTTGGAACAATGAGCAGAAACTAGCAAGACACATTTCAGTAGAGACAAGGGCAAAATCTTATATGGGGGGGTGTCATACTAGACAGCTGTATATATAAAAAAGATATGGGTGTCTTGCTGGATCACAAGGTGAATCTGAACCAACAGTATGAGCATTGGAAGGGGGGGAAAACCAAATTCAGTCCTATGCTTCAGGAAGAGAAGCACTGTATAAAGGTTTTGCATACAATTTTGAGCACTGCATTTTAGGAAAGACACTGACAAACTGGAGTGTATCCAAAGGACAGCAACCAAGATGATGAAAGGCCTGGAAAGAAAAAAAATATTAGAAACAGAGGTGTTGGGTATGTTTAACCGAGAAAAGAGATGACTGCATGGAGGCTTCAAGGCAGGACAAGACACAACGGTTTAAATTACGAGGAAGTAGATTTTGGTTGGATGTCAAGAAAAATGTCCTAACAGTAAGAAGTTTGAAACAAAATATTTTCCCCGTACCAGGCACACACCTTAAGCCCTCCAGAAATGTTGGATAGTGGCTCAGAGCTGACATGAGGCACTTAATGAAGGGCAGAACAACCAGGGAAAACAAATACAGCCTCTTGGCTTTCAGTCCTTTGAATGAGGCACTGACAGTCAGGATGTATGTGTTGATGCCCAGAAAGACTGGCTGTGTGCTCACCTGCACCCCATTTCCACCTGCTTTTCTTTGCTGCCCTAGGAAACACCTAGGGGCTCGACACTGGGCTGAGAAAGGCCATACGATCAGTATGATGTTGAAGTTCCTCACTACTTTCAGGATGTCAACATCCTGAACTTACCTGGGTTTTTCTGGACATCTGCTAAGTCTATCCAAGTAATCAGTGCCCTCCACATGGACAGGTGGTTCCTCAGGCAGCCTTGTTCTAAGCTGTATAAGGTAAGGCTACTGGGTACCTTCAGAATTTTGAGGATGTATTATGTATCATTTTGTACCACTACCAAATGGCTGCTGGGGTGGACATAAATCATAATGCTGCTGTTTCACAGAATGGTAAATTCGTAGGGCTAAAAGATAAGTAAAAAAGTAGAAGACAACACAGCAAAGAGGGGACTAAATGAATCTGATAACCTCACAAAGACCACAGAAAGACCTCACTTTAAATTGAGCAAAACTATTTTCATGCTAGGATTTCAAACTAGTTAAAAATAATATTTTGAGGTAATATGTAATGCTTTTTGTCATCAATTTTTCATTTTTTTATATAGCTCTTACACATATTCCTCTGCAAAGTATAATTGGACTATCAGTGGGATAATCACTGTTGCAGAAAACACCTCTGAATATGCACCCAACATTCCTACAGAAGTGCATTAAAATATATATATACTGAGAAAAGGGACCAAGCTATCTTCTGGAGAAGCTTGTTCAACATTATTGACCTTCTCAGAAGGCATTACCCAGTGCACAGGTCTTAGGTCTTAAGGTAAAGGTACTATATATAGGCAGGCTCAAACTATCCTACTTTGGACACATGCAAAGATCTAGCTCTTTGGAGAAGGCTCTAATGCTGGGAAAGGTGGAAGGAAAGATGACCAGCAGCAAGGTAGATGGACTGTTTCAGTGGTGATGGGTGCACCGTTGGAAGACCTGAAAGACCAGGTTAGGGACAGATTGTCATGGAGAAAAATCTATCTATGTAGTTGCTAAGAGTCAACAACAACTTGATGGCATATAATCAATCAATTAAATCACCATATCTTCATGCCAAATTCTTATTCTGCTGCCATCTAGTGGTCATCTGGATTTTGCAGCCCAGATATGGTAGCTCTACTCTACGGAAACATCCATTTATGTGGAAGAATATTTAGCTGTGCTGGATCAGACCAGTGGCTCAGATATACAGTTTACAGGAAAAATAGGAGTGCAACATTTCCAGCAACTGGTATTCAAAGGCAAATCAGCTCTGATGCAGGAGGTAATATACAATCATTAGACAAAAAATAAATTTGTTGGGACTAAAACACTAAAGTAAAATATAAGTTTCTCTCTTTGTAGAGATATTAATTGTGTGGAAAAATACCTTTGTAATCTACTTAACCTGCATGGGTGTCATTCACTGCTACTGTGGGATTGCATCTGGAAAAAACAGGTTCCATGTAGAAGTGTGGTTTTGTTTAAAGGGCATCACATTAAATGAAAACACAGTGCATACTGGCCACTAGGAAAATATAGCTAAGTGCTAAGCACTCAAGTCAGCAATCATAAGATGTTAGAACTGACTGGATCAGCAGCATCTTTTTCTAACATTTTAAATGCAGCCAGTTACCTCCTCTTGTTCTTCTTTTGTAGCTGGGCTGTCAGGTCCAAAGAAATATTTCTTGTTTAGATATTTCTTCTTAATGTCTTTAGATTTTTCATCTCGTTGTACTTTATTTTTGTGTAACATTCTCCTGAACTGCTCAATGTCTATCCAGCACATGAGGTCTGTGCTACAAAGGAAGCAATATGTTTTTATCACAGCATCATAAACATTACTTCAAGGATGGGCAATATTAGATGACATGGAAGCTGCAACTCAGCTTCCAACCCTTTGGATGGATGGTCACCATGTACCATCTACTGACATCATCAGAAGGAGCAGGTTCCCCCCCCTTTTTTTTCTTTTTTACTGTTTTAGGCTGAAGGTGAAAACAGGTACAGGAGGCCTCTAGCAAATAAATTGTTCCTATTCTCACCTTAAATTACCCCATCCCCAATCCTCTGAAACCACCATTCTCCTATGTGGGTTATATTCTTATGCAAACTTCTTCAGGCAAATAACCAAGTGGAATTCTAGAATCTGAATAAGCATTTGTAGAATGGCACTGCGTAATTATCGTATGCAACAAACACTTTACCACTTAGACCATGTGATTCCTCCACATACTTACAGGAGCTCTGAAGAATGACAAAGGTGAATTGACAACATCAACAAGCTCTGTAGTATGATAAAGACTAGATCACTTATGATGTCATCAGCTTCTACGGACTAGTCCACTTTTTTCAAATTTGTGGTATTATAAAATGAAAGGAAATCCCCATGTAAGCTACCCTGAATTCTTGGAGGAAAGGTGGGATATAAATCTAACAAATCAATAAAATAAATCATAAAATTGAGGTTGACTTCAAGTGACTAATAGATAGATCTATTACATCTATCACATGGAAGAAATGTGTCATGCCTTCTGCAGAGATGGTTTTCAACTTTGTAGTCCAACCATTTACCCTGGGATTCCTGTTTAGCTTCCAAACCTGGACAAGGTCAGCCACTTGCTGTTTTGCTGCCACTGACTGAGAGTGAAGTTATAGGAGAATAAAAAACAGATTGCTACAGCAGAGGCAGCACCTACCTGATTTTCGCTGAACTGATAAAATGTAGGTGGGGGTGGCTAATATTTAGATGGATGACCATGAGGAAAACCCAGGGGCTATAGGTTAGACTCAGAAGTTGCAAAATGTCTTGGAAGAAGCCAATAGCAAATCACTTCTATACTGTGGCTAGTAAAACTAACGGCAGTGCCCAGGAGTTGACATTGACTTAATTGCAACAATAGATGCAAAGTTATTACTATGGCAATTAATAAATCTTTGGATACTGTTGCTCCACATGGAAAGCTTTTGTCTATTAAAGCAACCTTGCCATCCTGGTTGCACCTTCATGTGTTGTATTCCAATTCTAAGAATTTCCTAACCAGCATGGCCAGACACACCTGGAAGATGCCACATTGGGGAAGGATATATCAACAGCTCTCTAAATGGAAACAGACTGCTTATAGCCACTACAACTGGGATGAGTACACTGGACTACAGTTGCCCATAAGATACAAAAGTCTATCTTCCATTATGTTTCTACACTGCACACTGGAACTGAGGAAGTAGTTGTTATATAGTACAAACTGCAGGGATTTCTTTCCTTGAAAGTATTTGGCCAATTATTTACACACCGCTTTATCTATCCCTATGAATTCAGGTTTTAAAACTCTTTACTTCAGCCCAAGGGAGTTAAGCTTGGAAACCACTTTATCTAATCTATAAAATGTCATGTACCTTAATTGCACACATGTTACAGCTTTGTGAAACTTTGATTCACAGATTCAGTTTAGCATATCTCTGAACTGAGCCAATTTTCCTACTGCATTAGAAAGTGGAATCAAACGGTCAGATCTGAAGAGAAAGGATTTGGAAAACCAAACAGAATCCAGTGCTTCAAACTGAAGTGTTACATTGATTTGTTTTTCCAAATTGATTTGAATGGTTGAATTGAACTGATATTTCTAAATGAATCAGGAATTCAAACTGAATGAGAGTCAATTTCTCCATCCCTAGCAAAAATCACTGTTGGGGTTGACCTTGTTGCACAGGCTCTTCAAAGCAAGACAACCAAGAGAAAAGAAAACAAAATGATCCAAGAGAAACTTAGATTGCTATAAAAAAGCTCTTGGATTATGTAGGCTTTGCTGTTTTAGTGCGCTAAATGAGAGATACCTTTCCAGATTTCTTGTAGAAAATCACTAGAAGAGAGATATTTTGAACTTTGCAAGTGTGTGAGATAGCAACATTTCTTGCCTCAGCCTTGTGCTTGTCTTATATTCTCTTCTACTTTTTGGTACTGGACAATGAACTTGGAGAAAGTACATCTGCAGGTGTGAATATCATATCCTTAATCAATGGATGGAAATGACAAAAACAGAGGCTGGACTATAGCAAAAATTCCAATATATGCCTAGAGCCAAAACATTTTTTGAAAGTTGGGATTTGGATTGGGGCATATATGAGTCTTTGGCATTCATAAACATCTCATTCTTTAAATACATTGGCTGTTCAAAATCCATCAAGCAGTGAAGAGACTGAAAATACCTTTTCATTGTCATATCAATGAGATAAGCTATAGAATTATAAAATTTACTAGGGAAATTGGAGTTAATGACAGGGCCACTCTATAACAGGAGAAATACCTTGCTGATTGCTCCTCAAGAAAGATACGGAACTGTTCCAAATCCAGCCTGTTGCTAAGTAATTTAGTAATGTCATATGATTTGAAATCTTCAGAAAAGTCTTGACCAAAGGTTTCTACAATTGTAATAGAATCAGACTTCTGTGGAACGTCTTCTTCAACTGCCAAAGCCTAATGAAAGAATTGTACAAGATAATAAACTCATACCTCCTGGTTTCTTAACCTATGAAGATATGTATGTATTTCTTCTTTCTTTTATGCCCTTTCATGTAATTGTATTTCAGATCAAAGATTAAAGGGCACCTGTATGCATCAAGAACTGTGACTGGGTGCATTTGATCAAAGATACTGGCTATATAATCTCTTGCCACTACTAGATGGCTTTATATAGGAGTGAATCATTGAGGAACAGGAAAAGAAAAATATTTGCTATCAACGTTTTCTGATTCTGAAGATGAATAATATAAGCTGATTATAAAAACCGGGGGAGGGGTGTCTGTATAAAAGAAAAGAACAAAAAAAAAGTTATTTATTCCTTTCTGATATCATCATCATCAATCATCATCATCATCATCATGTAGTATTGGCACCATGACAATTGCTGGCATTTTTAAAGGCATACCTGTATAATCTTGTGGCTCAAGAGAAGATATTGTATTGTCCCTCTCAACACAATATGTGAATCTAGGTCACAATAGCAGATATAGGTAGAAAAACAAGGGTAGGACATCTAGAAGGCAATCTGTATATTACCAGTATGTTGTCTATAGCACTATTACAGAGCAAAAGTGAAGCTTTGAAAAAGGACCATATTGTAACATCATGATTTCAAAGCACTTTTCTTAAAGGAGACCGGTATGTTCTTGCTCCATTGTCTTTCTTGCAATGGGCTTCTTTGGTTACGTTTGCTGGGAATTATGAGGGTTGAAGTTCAATACATTGAGAGCTTCCAGAAGTCTGCCTTAGGATATGATTTAACAGTATAACTATTTCCTTATTGCTAGAAAAAGGGGAACAACCATGGTTTCTTATGATTTTTAGAATTCAGTAATACGCCCAGCTTGAGATTTCTGGACTGTTGTATGAAAGATTGTTAACTGGTTGATGCTATATTAGTATGTATGTGAGAAAGAGCAATGAATGTAGCATTTTGGCTGCATAAGTAAGATGCCGTTAAAATCTAGTGAGACCTACAATTCCTTTCTCACAACACTTTTAATCTAAAGCTGGATGTTTGAGCTTTTTGGGTGAGTCACCAGCTGTTTACAATTAATATTAATTCCCCCGAGTTCATACAAAGAAATGAATACTCATTTGCATTTGATTTAATTGTTAATCGGATATTTTCCCCCTATCTTGGAGTTGTATATTTACTGTTTCAAATCTTCCACTATTTTACCTATCATTAGTAGTAATAGTATTAGTAGTATTAATAGCAGTAGGATGAATATTGTTGGTTGGCACGGCAAGTCATTTCTCATGAAACACTCACTATAATTTTGAAGCCATGCAGCAATTTGCTGGTATGGACTAAAAGTTTGTTTATTAGAAGTTTATAATGTAGAACGGCACTGTGTAAAAGCTTTGTAGATTTCTCAAAAAAAATAGATTTGCTGCCACTGAGAAGCACACAGTGTTAAGCTCTAAATACGATGCAGAAATAAGGATGTTGTTTTTGTTAATAGGTGCTTGCCTTTACCTCATCTTTCTTGGAAATGCCCTCTGTACGCAAAGCCTGCAGCTTTTTAAAGTACACTGAGTCCAGCTGTCGAGTTTCTTCCACCAGCTCCACCTAATAAAAATAATATCTTATGTCATCCACCCAGTACACATTACTGAAAGAAAGATGAAGGGGTAGGAGAGGAAAGCTGCCAATGACAGTGGGTAGAAAAGAAGCAAACTTGCCAGGAACAAGACAGATGTTTAGAAGGCATATCTCTGCATGTTGCATTTCCCCAGACCAGATGATTCAAGGAGAATATTTGCTGAAACAGCTAAAGCAAAAAGCATTGTGTGCATCTCACTAAGGAGCAAATATCCTATCATTTTAAAAGAGAATGTGGCAAAGTCACTAGCGGTGTGTGCCTGCTAATTGATAGGTAGCAATTTGCATTAAAAAGAAAATTTAACATAAGCTCACCAGTTTATTTAATATAGATTAACCAGTGGTTTTATTTATTTATTTTTTAAAAGGATGCTAGAAACACTAAAAATAACATTGCTACTTCCAATAGTGAATGTGGGTAAAGAGTGCTTATAGGGACTATAGGCAAATAATCTTTATTGAAACATTATTAACAACTTTTGATATTATTTGTAAGCTACCTTGGTAGGATTTGATTCCAGAAATTTGCGATACAAATAATGTTGATAAATAAATAATAAACAAATAAAATGGGGGCACCAAATATGGCAGAGATATCACTTGTTTGGGGAAATGCTAAGGTTTGCACAATTACAAAGGAAATCCTACAACTAAAAACCTAAGGAGGAAAAAATTCAAAACTTACACCAGTTTGGAGTGAGCGTGCTAAGCAGTCATAGAATTGGAAAAGAAAAATGGAAGAATGGATTATCATACTTGGACAGAAAGGCTGATTGATCTCTGGACAGGAAAACTCTGCAACATTTACCAAGACCTATTGTTCAAATGGTTATAATTAAATAATTGAAAAAATAAGCTTCTTATTGAAACTGCTATACTTGCTGGCAAAAAGGAAGATGTAATTGCTAATATCGCCTCCTTTGCACTTGGTGCTGGAAAAAAGCACCCTAAATACTTTGTTGGAAATAGAAGCTGGGGAGTATAATGATGGCTAGTAATATTGTTTTATTTTGCAGAATTATGTCCCTATAAATTACCTTGCAATACCTTGTATCACCTTGTTTTGTTTAATGGCACAACAATAAGCCTTAAATTAAAAAATTGCTAATGGCAGTCTTTTTACCTTCGAGCAGAGGATTTTGTGGCAATATGGGGGTTGCTACCTTTGATCAATCTCCTTCCACAATCCTGAAAATAGTTCCAAAAGATGATGAATTCCAAATGGCACGCACCAGCTTATTGTATGGGACATGAAAAGAGGTATTTAACTTTTGGTGAAATTAAAATCTTTCATCATAAGACCTGGCCCTTTAAAATGGTAGCTCTTTTCCATGTATCCTGGGAGCCAAAGGTAGAGTGAAAATGCTGCAGGGTGGACTTTCTCCATAGATGATGGTGGGAATGGACTGTAGTCAAACAAGAGAGATGCTGAAACAGAGGCTTAGTCATAGTCAGGAAGTTCAAGACCGTAGCCAGGATATGGTTACATAATCCAGCAGTATGCTTCATATGTTCATAGATTACCTTCCCATATGTTTCTCGGTCTTCTTCCACCATCTTCATCCATGGAACCAAAAGAAGAGTGAGGATGTATTCTTCTGCTGGGTCAAAAAGATCTTCAAATGGTGGATCAATTCTTTTATAAATTTCATGTTTTGTAGCCTGTTGTATTCCAATATCCATAGCAGCAGAAGGAGCAATATAATTGGCATAAAGGAACTGTATTAAATGAAAAAGAAGAGATTAGTTGCTCAACAACTATGCAGTACAATAACATTCTGTTAAAATGAAAACAAAAGATCAAAAATATTGTTGTAATATCATTTGAATTACCTCTAATTTTCTGTTGTGGTATTGCAACTAATAACTGCAAAATGTAGTATTTCTCCTTTCTTCCCTACTTATTTTTTCTGAAGATTTCTGCTTTGGGTTTTTTCCCCATCAAACAAGAAAGACTGATTTCTTTCCTGATCCTAAAACTTGTTTATCCACAAACTTCCATGACCTTATGGGTATTTGTGAATGAGCTCCAGATAGTACATCTTACATATTATTTCAGACACAGTGATTTTAAACAAGGACATTTGACACATTATAGTCTATACATAAAGCAAAATCCTGCAGTAGTAGAGGTAAGTATATTATTTTGAGCTGAATGAATGTATAAGGAAGGAGCAGAAGCATAGGGCAGGATAGATTAAAATCTTTCTGTCAGATATTATAGTTACATGGAAGGATTTTTAAAAAATGCAGAAGTAGTTTTAGAAAAATGCCACTGTGGGTGGTCTAGTACTAAAATCCATTTTAACATCATAGTTCTCTGCCATCTCATTCTGCAGCACCTTCAGATCATCTAGACCTCAACTATAAGTCATCAATGTATCTTGTTATGCTTATTTTCTGATTGAAAAGAAGTTCCAGGGTAAAGTTATACTGAGGTTTTGTTTCCTTTGGAAGAAGATCAGTGCAGTCTTACCAATATTTTAAAATACTGACATTTATTTATAACTGCACAGGTTGAGCACAGGGCTGCTGCATCAGAGAAAACGACCAGCACTACAAAATCCTTCTCAAGTCTATAATTTCTCTTCACATGTAGACATTATCCAAAACCACATCGCTCTTAGCAAGCAATTGCCTAGCAGCTGAAAACCCCCATCAGCCAATTTCTCTAACAAGATTCTCAGCAACGTTACCAGGACTATTGAGGCATTTGTCAGAAATATTCCTGAATCAATTTCTCCTAATTCCTATGAAACAACAATACATTTGAGAACTAGGTTGCAAATGATGATCCAATGTAGTTCATCCTCTGTGAGTTATAAAATGTAAACAAATGTCATGCCACTTTGAAGAATACATAGAAACTTCTAGGCTGCAGGAATATTTTTGAAAAGATTGTCAAAGAAAGTAGTAGCTGATTTGAACAGAATCTCTATATAAAACCTGGTTTCAGTCCTACGTGCTCAGCTTATTTTTTGTCTCTTACTATCCATAAAATACATGGAGAATAACAGTAAATGTTCTAAACTCTGAGAACTTCAAATTCAATTTAGTTTGTGTAGGAACTAAAGGTGCATGGATTAGTTTTGTTCTAACTGGAATAATTGATTTAGTTGAGATAATTGACCTGATTCAACAGTTCAGTTTAATCTATCAATCCAATTCAGAGAGATGACTGAATTCATTTCCCAAAACAAACTTCACATAGCCCTAGTAGAAACTATTTTATTTTACTTATGTGAAATAATTAGAACTTTAAAAAGAGAGGGAGTGTTATGTCACATTTTTTAAAAATTACCACAATATCAAAATGTGAATACTTTTAGGGACTACTTACTGTGATGAATAAATATATGGTGATTTTATTGTATTTATTAAGGCTGTGGAGTTTCTTTAAAGAGTTGCAAAACAATGCACACTTGTGCTCCTGTCAGCTACAAAGAATTTTTGGGAATTGGATCTGAAACATTACATAGCACCATTATTTAATAAGTTATCTATATCCTTTTGTGAAAAACCACCACAGAGGGCTGCTTACAATTACTTAAAAACAATTTTAACAAATCAACCATATATTTAACAAATTGTAACAAAACAACCAAGAACAGCACACAGAGTCAATATTTAAAACCAAAACATAACAAATATTTTCTAGCAGATATAACAAATGCTTGTTGGAATAAACAATATTCATATCCAGCAATGTGAAAAACAGCCAGGGAGGATGCTAGCTAAGTTTGTGGGTCAAAATGTTCCATAATATGGGTGCAATCATTTAGGAAGCCTCTCTTTCAAACTAGTGAATAGTCTTCTCTCTTTGATGGGGCACAGAATAGCAGCTTTCTTTCCAAGTTCGGGAACAGGCATATTAAAGTTGGAGCAAACCGATTTTAACAAGCAATCCAAGCTATTTCCCACTATCTGCCCCAGAACTATCTGTTTTAGAGATTTTTAAAAAACCTCCTCACGGTCACAATCCTGGCACTAATCTTGGGTTGTTGCACTGATGTCCCAGCCAGGATTTCCTCCAGCTGGCCAATGGGAAGATGCAAAAAAGGGGGAGTGGCTGGCACTCTTCCACTGCTCTTTTCCTTGCTGTGCTTGCTTTGCAGGGTGGGGGGCTGAAACAATAGCAGCAACAATGTGAGGGGAAAGACAGATCTACTCCTCAGAATGAAGGATGGGGTTAACAAGAGGTCATGATGCCTTGCCTAAGGGAGGCTGGAGGAATTCCAGAAGCTAATAGACAAGGCAGGACTTGGTGATTTCCCACCCGATCACCCTGCAGCTCCAGAGGAAATACTGAAAAATTGCCTTTGTAGGCTTCCTCTGAAGCATAGAATTACAGAGCCATAGAATCACAGGGTTGGAAGGCACCTCGGATGTCTTCTAGTCTAACTCCCTGTCCAAGGCAGGAATTCTCAGTCCTTCCCAGTCAAATGGCTGTCCAACATCTGAAAATCTCCAGGGATGAAGCACCTATGACTCCAGGAAGTAGGTTATTTCCTCTGCTTAATAGCTCTCACAGTCCGGAAATTCCTTATTTTGAGTTTGGATATCTCTCTGCAAAGCTTCCACCCATTGGTTCTTCTCCTACCCCAGGGCATTATGGAGCATAAATCCACACCCTCTTCCTTGTCACAGCCCTTTAAGTATTAGAAGGCTGCTATCATGTCTCCCCTGAGCTTTCTCTTCTTTACGCTAAACATGCCTAGCGCAGCTCATACTTAATCAGTTTCCCAAAATCAAGACAAGCCTTGCAGCATTAGGTGGAAATAACCAGGCAGTCCTGATCTCAGATCAGTGCAAAGGCACCTGCAGGGGCAATCAAACAAGACAGCAGGCTTGGCATCATGATGCAAAAGGGGTGAGACTGTGCCATTCACAGATTTGCACACGCACACACTGTTTCATCAATGCAGGCCATGCACCCCTTGGGAGGGGACAAAGATGGCTTTAATGATACACATTATTTTAGCACAGGATTCTTGTCACATCTTAAAGACAAATATTAAATAATATTAATTCAAAATGCCCAAAAAAAGTGTAATGAATGAAAACTAGCAGAATGCAAAGAAAGCATAATAGGCAAAATATATCACATCTATTACCTCCAAGTTCTAACTCAGGGCACACAAAATGTGTATTTTCAACTTAGTGTAATAATGCAAATCCATTCCATGAAACTTCCTAGTATTCAGGAAGGTTTGAAAAACACAACTTTTTAAATGTCTGTTTGGGAACTGAGGAAAAAATGGAAGATACACCTCAGCTGGGATGAATCTGGCAGCTTGGAATTACAAGATATTACAGTCTATAATATTGTGAGTATGCTGAAGCATGTCGATAGAATTTATTACTGTTGTTATTGGACAATTTTGAATTATTATAAAGTCCTGTACGTATTTTATGTTTTGCTGCTTAGAGCTCTACATTTGAAATTCAGTAATATTACAAATACTATTATTAATAAATGCTATAAATAAATAATAAATTCTTCAATACCATTAAAGAAGAAATGAATACTTTATAAAACACAGTTGATGGATTCGTGCATTAAACTCAGTCCAAACTCATCATTTCAGGTCTAATCATGAGATGAGATTAAGTAGCATCAAACCTGGGAGCTTCAGAAAGGCAACTTAATGCCCCAGACATTTTGTGGTCTGAGATAAAAAAAAGTATAAGATGGTATCCTTTCCCTCCCGCTCACTCTCAGAATGGACCAGATCAAGGAACCACTGTGGCCATTGCCCCTTCCAGATCACCTATTTGCTGCCTGAGCATAACGCCTCCTTCTCACTAGTGACGTGGCCACCCTTCTAATACTATGGTGACATCAACTTGTAACACAATCTCTACTTTTCACATATAAAAGCAACATTAGCCAAGCCCCAGGCAGGCATACAATAAGAGCACATCTATAAAACTGCTTTTCTCCAGGACTGGCTATTTTATTTAGCTTCAAGGCAAAACTGATTGCCCCCCATCTCCTGCCACAAACTAATCATGTAAGAGATGAAAAGGGGAAGGAGGAAAGAAAAGATGTCTTCTTGGCTGGAATTGCTCTCTCACCCATGAACGTGGGTGTACTTTTAGGGGCTTGGATATCGTCTTGTTTTGCTCATGATAAAAGCTGGGAGTTCTGCTTCAGGAGTGCAGAATCTATAGAATGCTAATGGTTAACATTTTGTTATACAGAAACTATCATGTTTTATTGTACTTTAATTACACAAGCGGTGCTTGAGGACTGTGGGCTGAGTTACTTCCTCCCCCCTTCTGATACAGAAACTAACTTCTTCATTTAACTGATAGATTTTTTCTCACAAAAACATAGGAAGTTGCCTCATGGCATGACAGAACTTTCAATGTTATCTATACAGTACTGTGACAAGTTGTGGTTCTCCAGAGCTAAACAGCCATTAAGTGATTCCTACCCTTAGTCCCCGTTGTCCTCATTTCTTAAAAAGTAAATAAATAAATAGGACGTGCGGCAGCCAGAACTTGATTTGGATTATGACATGATGAAAGGGATTTTATTTTTAGCCATTTCTTCCTGTCAGTGTCTTGATCCAGATGGGAGGATCGATACTTAGAGCTTGCAATGTCACTCCTCTTGTGTTACTCAAACAAATGGCAAATGTTAAACAAAAGCAAACTGGCAGCCAAGCAAGAGCTAAACATGTGGATCATGTCACTTTCTCCTGGAGGTTCAG